ATGGATATGGGAAAGCATTATTGAATCAATCTGATATTGGTTTCCGATTGCTAACTCAAAATGGCGTATACAGCGACTTTTTAAAACCTGTTTATCCAACTCATAATTATCCGAATTGGATGAGTCTTGTAACAGGTTGCTTGTTCTGTCCGTTTCTAGTCATTATTAAACCTTCTAAATTTAAATGCATAACAAATAAAATTTAGGCGACATTTGAAGCTAAGAGAAAATCAGACTATAGAAAGTCCAGTGAAAATTTTTCCCATGCTACTGAAATTTAGCGAATTTCAATTTTACTTTAGAGTGTGAATTAAAAGCTATGATTCATTCATTAGTGCTTTAGGTTTATATGCAGAAAATCATGGCTTTGGCGCTAATTACATGTGGGATAGGGTTAAAAATCGAAGATTTTGGAAAGGTGAAACAAATCGTGTTGGTGACAGTTGGTGGCCTGATGGTGTAGTACCAGCTTGGTATACTACAGGCAAATCAAACGTTGATGTGCACTGCTACTGGATGCCAGGATGTGATGTAAGTTCAAATTAATTGTTAGAAAAAAAAAGCAAAAATTTAGTTAGTGTTAGATTAGTTAATGTTATTGTGCCAAATTTTAAAATAAAGAATTAAAAAATGATCTATTAAAACTTACATCACATATAAACCATAATTGCCTTTTTATATCTAGACTTACCGTGATTAGCTAATTCTGCACAAGACAATATAATATCTAAAGTAGATAAAACTAGGAGTTCAGATGAGAGATCAATAATTTGAAATAAAGATATTTTTTCAGTACTAATAAAGTAAAAGCTAGTAACTCGTTTGTTTTCTTCGTATGGTTTTTTCCTTCTTTTTTTTTTTTTTTTTTTTTTTTTTTTTTTGCCTCATTCTTCTTTTTGTCTTGTTGTCCTAAATGTAAATTTTTTAAATTTAGATGTTTTAAACAAGTAATATTTGCAGCTTCCATATCAAGATATAATTGTACAGGTACCACAGGAGCGTAAGTACAATGCTTCATTACCAGAGCAAACTGATGCACTGATGAGTTATTTTCCAGAAATAATCGAACGAATTACCAAATACCAACCATATAGGCAACAAGTAATTTTAATGCAGTAATTAGTTAGAATCATTTATGGTTAAATAAAATTTAATAGTATTAAAATGATTTCAAGTATTTTAGTTTTTTCTTATTCGATATGCTGGTGTACAAGCAGCATTAGAGACATTTGGATTACGTAGCGACGAATTAAAGCAAGCTCTTATTAATGTCGATTTAAGTCTTCTTCTGTTACAAGTTATTCTTTTTTTATTTTTTTGATTTCCAAGACATTTCCAAAAAATGTATTTTTAAAAAAGCTGTTGCTTTCGTATTTTTAAAAATTTTATACGATAACATCTGAATTATCAATCAGAAGGTATTTATCAGTAATTAAAATATCCGTTCACATTATAGCAAAAGCTTGATGCTGAGAAACTTTTCGAATCAACAAATTTGATGGTAATTTCAACACATGGTCTGTATACAGTAGAACAAGAAGAGCAATTTTTCATCGAAGAATGTCTAACAGATTATTCAAAAATTCAAAAAGTGGTTAATCATCATGCAATGATGATGATTTTTACAAATCCCGATGAGGCTAATGAGGTATGGAAAGGGTTTTTATTGTAGTGAACATACCAAGTTTCATACAAATTAATCAAAATGCTATTTTAATCAAGAAAAGTACCGGATCATGAAATTTTTCTAGTTAAATCGTGATCTGGTTCATAAACAAAATGTGCATAATCATATTTGCATATTTCACAACAGCCTGCAATGCCTGCTACACTATCTTACAGGCTATTACTTTATTGAAGCTTATCATATAAATAGTTCTTGTAAGCTGTTCTGTTTTTGAATCTGGTTATTATCTGGATAGAACCAGTGTTGCAACGATCATTTTTAAATAGATTTGTTTTTAAGGTATTTTTTGAATTGAAATTGTGCGATCAGTGGGCACCGATGGGTGATTATGATGAAAATGAACAACCACTTGTATCAGTCTATCAAACAACTGAGTTACCGGATCGTTTCCATTGGAAAAATTTTCAGTATATGCCAGAAATTGTACTGATAACTCGTCCAGGTGCAACTGTCTTAACGGTATATTATCATTACATTCCGGTTGTTTACAGTATTCCGAATACTGCATAAATTTCGTTAACAATATCTTTTTCAGACTGATATTCATTTAAAGCTGATTTTTTCTCGTTTCTGCCATAAAATAAAAAGAAATACTAAAATGTGATATATATATTTTTCATTTTCGTATCAAAAATAATTCTTTTACTATTTATTATTAAAAACTAGCTTATCTTTATTAACAAATAAGTTTATCAAAAATAATTTGAAGAAAAAAAAAATTGCTATGAATAAATTACACTTAACTGAAACATTCTTTTTTTACAGCGTGAATTGCCCTCTCTACCACCACATGATGAGCAAGAAAGAGATATTTTATTAACTGGTGGTTGGGATAATGAAAATCTCAATATGCATGGTATTTTTTTTGCTCGAGGACCAGGTAAATTTTTGAGATAAAAAACAAAAACAGTATTTAATAAATGGTGTGTACAAGTCGATAAGTAATATGTATAATTTTTAAGTGATTTTTATTACTACAAATTATGAAATTTGTTTGAATTTTTTAGTATTATTTCTTTTAGCTTTCAAAGAAGATTACGAAGCTTCAGATATCAATGTAGTTGACATCTATCAGGTAAAATGAATTCCTGTATTTACTATTTGAAGCTTTTTTTTTTTTTTTGTAAATTTATATCTTTTTAGATTTCCAGTCAACTGAGCATTTGGTTAGTAATTAGTAAATTAAGAAATAAGCAGAATGTGTTTCATGATCCATTAAGTAGTGCTATTTTCTTATATTAAACTCAAATATGCGGCTTTAGTTTTCACTAAATTTACAACATTTTTTTGGCAGGTAATGATGAATATATTTGGAATTGAGCCGCCACATCGACATAATGGTACATGGTCCAACGTAGAAGATTTTCTAAGTAGTGGTTGGGAAACTCGATCAGTACCCGAGAATATGAGGGCATTTACTGTAACCAGTTGCCAAATATCGTTAATGTGCTTCACTATACTGATCTCATCCTTTATGATATATGATCAGTTTCTATGATCACTGATAATATGACAGCAGAACTTGGATTATTTCAGCTCAATGCATTCCTGGTAATACTTATATCACTGTTTATGTTACTTTTTCTGCATTTTACTATGTACGAATTGAAAAGTGTGATAATTCTACCCTTTATTCATTACGCTTGAAATAGTCTCTGTAATTTACCCATCATATTCCATTCATTTAGGTCAAGGTTAACTTCCCATCTGTTTCCCGACTTCTCTAAAATACATTCTGAATTATCTCAACTTATCGCTGGAAGTATGCAGTGCAGTATGCTTTGAAGAGTGCCATGCATTTCTAATCGTTAGCACACGTTTTAATGTATGATGAACTTCAAACCATTAGTTCTTATCTTACCTCCCTTTATAGTTACTTCCATTTCTTACATTAGCATTTTCTAATGATATTAAAAGTAGAAAGGTCTATTGTAACTCTCAGCATTTCAACACTGTTTATTTCATTGAAGCACATATGATTCTTTCAAGAAACAAATCTAAAATAAACTCCGCTAAGCGGAGACATTACAACGCATTTCTTATGTAATTTTAAAAATTACTTGTAAATTTTTATTTTTCCGAATTTAACTAATTTGATGGTGCAGGAGACTTATGGTGGTTCAAGGGAACATTACTCAGAAGTTTGCAAAATCAGCAGTCTGATCCCCCTTCCAGTCACAACTCATACAACATTTGCGTGGGTCCCTTTATCACAATAAGTGGTAATTTGGCACAAATGGCGTCTTATTTACTATACAACGGCATTTGTGCCGAATATGAATTTTACAATTTGTAAACAAGATTAATCATCTCGTAAAAACTTCCAGCTCTCCAACTGATATGTTATAAATGATCGGCAATCTGATTATTGCAATGTGTCACAACACCTGCCTTGTGATTATGGAACTTTGAATAATTTGATGAAAAACTATAAAAAGTTTGGTTTCCTCTTATCTGTTTGGTGAGCTAGAAGGAGATGATAAACCCAACCGTGAGTTAGCCTGCAAATAAGCAATAAGAAAAAGTTTTCAAGTGTTTTTAACAAATTTTATGAACGCCTATGAACAATGCTTTAACTAAACATATGAAGACATATAACATTACCATTTCACACTTACCATCTGGACACAAAAATAACAATTTGAAAACTTAAATGAATGAAAGGAACTATCACTTGTGAAGAACAACTCGGCAAAGTTAAACCCTATACAGAAACATAACTTATGGCAGTTTCTGAATAAAATATGTAGCATGAGGAAATTAAATTTATAAGAAAACAAAACACAACAATTTACAGGTGAAAGAAAAATACATAAATTACACAACCTAGGAATAAAAAAATTGAGAGTAAAGAAAAGTAAGACAAGATGAGAGCAAATTCAAATTAAATTAAATTATCTCGCACAATCAAACAAAACTAACAGATGGATTAATAGGACCTAAAACAACAAAAGAGAACCAACCGATTGCAGTTACTATCGAAATACAAAACGAAAAAACAGTGAATGTAAGCTTCTCAAGTGTATGCTGAACAAATAGTTAAAGATCGATTTCAGCATATCTTTTGAAGTTAGACAAGTATCGAAACATAATTTAAGTGTGGCAGAAACATCATAAATCTGACATGGATAACAATGAATACGACGAAGAAAAACAATGCGCAAGAGAAGCTGGGACTAATAAAAAGCTAGAAAAATAGTGTAAAGATGTGTTCCAACACAGCATCTTCAGTAAAAGTCCTAATAACGGCTGATGAAGATAAATTTCCATGGGAATATTCATAGCTGCAAGCCTTCTGAGAGATGGAATAAGCTTATCCAGAAGTAGGTGTCAGCAAACTGTGAAACGCGATTTTATAATAAGGATGGACTTTGGTTCTGCGTTTCCTGTGCATATCATTTAAACTTGCTTTAGAAACATCATTATATTGAACTTGATCTGCAGGTTTTTCCGCTTTGTTGTAACTCATGTCATTATCCAAACCTGTTTCAGAAACGCCATCATAACCACCATCATCATCATAGCAACTATTTCCATCAAAAACAGTTGAAAGAACATCATGACTTTCCGACAGACATGATTTGGAACAATTAATGACCTCTTCCAAATTATTGGATCCAGAAGATGAGCGTCTCGCAATAACTTCTGCAACACTGCGATCCAAAGAAAAATTGCGGCTATTGTAGTAATTAGAAGCTGTTCGAATTTCCATATCGTCATCAGAGCACTGCTCATTTCTGATATCCTCAATATCACCAATGCAATTAATGGAATCTTGTGATAAAGGCATCAAATGAGATCCATCAATAAAGCTCATAGTCGTCGCAACAGCGGCAAGAATTTGCAAACCGTTTTGCGATGTTCGCGGTTTTTCACAGCTCAGCTGGTTCGACGTTCGGTTATTCAACTTACTAGAACGATTACGATGTGTGGACCCATTATTCTTTGCTGATTTTCTTTGTCTTACAGTCTGGCATCCGCGAGATTTACCAGTTGGAATCAAATTGTTCGAGGTATTCAAATCGCTTTCCTGGGAATGCTTTGCAGCCTCAGAACTATCTGCCTTCGTACTATTCACAACCATATACGGTGTAGTGTTCATCCAAGCTTGCACATTGGATACAGTCGAGTATGACGATGAAGATAAAGATGTAGATGATGATGTTCTTATAGAACGTCTAACTCTTTGCTGATTTCTGGGAACATCGCGGCCATTATTTACTTTTCTAGTCCTTTTTTTCGAACAATTTATAGAAGTTTCCGCTTCAATTCCTTAAAAAAAAAAAAGGAAAAATTCGAAATCATTTTCCAAACAAATTTGTAAATCATCTGCTTTCAGATTTTTCATTAAAGAAATTACTTATGGTATTAGCACTAAATGAAAAAAAAAAAAAAAAGAACTACATACTTCCAGTTGAGAAACGATGAGGTATATGCCGTAAAGCAGCAACGGTATGTCGGCGAAGCGTCATCGTCGTGTTCAGTTGATTTGATTGTGACATAAAACGACAAAGCCTCGAATCGGTTACACGAAATTTATAACTGTTACCGGACTCTTTTGATTCAGCACAATTTTTTTCCAACGAAGCGGCAGCTGTTACCACCAAACTTGTGAAAAAACCTTTGCAAGATCTGCAAATGAAGTTAATTACCCACAAGTCTAAAACTCCCCGAAAAAATCACAAACCTTGATTAAGCGATTGTTCTCCGGACATAAATAGGTCTACACAGTAAGAAACGAAGATGACAAAAATCGTATCAGGATTGCATACGGTATACAAACACTCACGGGCCACCATGTATAGACGGAGTGAGACCTAAAATGGTGGGAGAAAGAAAAACATAGAACGGTACTAAGGCGTAAACGCAAATCGCGGAAAAATGGTAAACATACCGTTCACAAGTCAAACATTCACAACGACAATTGTTATCGCCAAAAAAATTGTCACCATAATATGCTGTAATTTCGTCCCCTATTGCAATGTCACGTAATACCTGAAATTCAATACAGCCCATAATTTTTGTTACTTGTAATATTGGAGTTAAAATGGGTTACTTCTGACATAATTCCATCGATTGAATAACTGGATGATACCTGTACAACAGCGGCATAGCTATTTGGGACAAATTTACAGTTGGGATAGCAGTCGTGATTAATATAAGCAGCAGGACCAAGCCACAGCTGAGCTCGTTGCTTTCTGGAATTATTATGCAGAATGAAGTTATGAGCCTAACGTGATTGGCAATGTGATGTATTCCATACCTTGTACTATACATGACAGAAAAATCATTGATATCTTTTCTCAGCAATTGAGATTCTTCGTTGTGACTGAGATCACCAATAACACCCACTAAACTGCCAATGACATCACCTTTTTGCCTGAAATGCCGAAAGTTAATAATTAGCTTTATCGTGAAAACATGAAGGAATTAAAAAAATCTCAAGAAAAAAAAACTAAATGTACCATGATTTCGTAGCAACTAGCATTCCACCAAGGCGATTTTCCGTTTTGTAACGATAACACGCTTGGACTGTAAAGCCTGAGTCGTTGGAAAACATTCGCATAAACCTCAAGAGCTGAAAAGACATAAAATGGAATGGGGGATAGTACCCTGCATAATGGCAAGTGAAATGTAGCAACCAAAACTTACGTGATCTCGGAAAGCAAGCTGCTGCTTTAGCGTCCGTCGTTTCAGAAATCTCGTTATTGCACTCACATGGAAAATTTCTTGAATCGCTGCGCACAAATCCTGATCCTCCTTATATTTCCTCAATATGCACTTCAGCTTAATTTGTTCCTCGTGTTGCGGTGGACGATAACTATAAATAATACCAGTAGGTACGAAGATGTACGATAACTACTCAATTAAGTGATTAGTTCATAATGCATTTTGATTAGATAATTGGTAGAATAAGAGAGTTTGGAGAGAGTATACATCGATGTGCTTTTTTTTAGTAGGCTTATATTTCCTCATAATTAGCACGAAATTTGTACCACTGTGGTCGATAATAATAACCTAAAACTTTGATCAAGCAATCTCGATAATCTGATTTAGCATTCTACTGATTATCGGATGCTGATAACATCCACTGATTAATTACACTTACTGAAGATTCATTTTATGTGTGCGAAAACCCAGAATCGGATCGACGATAATGCTTGTTGCCATATCATCATTGTCACAAAGTTCTCGTATTGTCATACTATGCTGTCCCGATGATCGATCCGGCAACCGGAATAATTCCGGACTCAAACTCATGGCGTACACAAAGCACCCAACCACAACAACTACACACACCAGTCAGCGGAAAAGTGAAAGAGATACTAAATCGAAGCTTTTCTAAAAACTGAATACTAAGCAGCTCTCTCAAACCGACGTTGAAAGATGTTTCGCCATCTTAGCAGCTGTATATCACTGTTGAGTAATTAAACTCATTAGTGGGATTAATTTTTATTTTTCTTTTATTCATTAATTAGTTTAATGATTATCGTTTAACGAAGAGCTCACATATCAAATTTTTGAACAAAATCCAAAAAAGTAATGAAAGATTGAATAAATGAATGCACAGAATGCATTATATTGCTATATCTAGAAAGGATACCGTCCTGTAATGTAACAATTCTATATGAAATCATTATTATGTTTATTAAATACATTTGTTATTAATTACTGCTATTAACCACTATATCAAATGTTAACCTGTAATAAAAAAAGAAACTATCAATGAAATTATAACTTAAAAAAAGACAAAAGCACAAATATTTAATGACATATATCTCGTCCTAATAATGCGCCGACGTGACGTTCCTCTCATTCCTTCAACGAACACTAATACACTAATAAGATATCAGTCATATGAACATTTAGTCTTTAAAAAAGCCTTTCTTTAGATAAATTTTTTTCAAGATAAGAACTGTAAATAATTTGTGATAAATATGATAAATATCATTTTAGCAATCATTAAATTCAATTGGTTATTGATTGTTCTTAATGTTTATTTATGCTTGCCGATGGACTTATTCATTAACTTGTTGCATACCTGCTGTTGAATCTGTTCCATTTACCTGTTATTCTGTTACTTGTCAACTCACTAATTGAAAAAAAAAAAGACGACAAACTTTTATTTTGCATATCACTTTCATGATTAAATCAGTGTTCATATATTGCAAGGGATGTAATCATTAAGATTCCTTGGCATAACACTTCTCTTCAAATCACTTTCAATCAATTCAACTGCTGGTTATCCTAAGATTTCAATAAGATGAATTCACTCTTTAACATGCCTGCTTGAATGCTACTTAATACTTTGCATATTACTGATGCAGTGACATTAACAACTTCCCTCTTTCAATAGATATATTTTCATTCTTCAATCAACAATGTTTTAATTATTAACATTTGTTATTCCATATCATATAAGTAAAAGATCTGGTTAAATATACTGGGTTTCCATAAATAGTCTGCAGGCATTAAAATTTCAGGACATATTATTCGGTAGAATTTAATTTAACCAATGATAATTTTAAATGTAATTTTAACTAATCTAGAGATCAAAGATTATGCAATGTTTGAAATTATTTTCAACTGTGAGATGAAAACCTGCGGAAGGATCATTATCATGCTTCAAAAACAATACAACAGCGATTGAATTATCAATAATTATTATTGCTATCATTTCATTTTATTAGTAATATACGCATGGTTTATGAAAATATTTTTTATTATGAGATGAAATTTAGCCATTGTTTGCTCTTTAATTTGATATGTCTCGGCGACTTTTCGCTGCTGTTTGCGGCGTTCCTAATCAACAACGTTCGTAGAAGAAACCATTTGGACCGGTTATTGCACCAGATCTTAGAATGTTTTGCTGGTAATTGCTATCGCCATTGTCGTAGATTTTGCAAACCTGATGACTAGTATTTACAACGACCACGAGAAGATCATTCGACCATCCCAATCATCACTAACAGCCCATCACAATTCGCCACAAATGCAGACTATAACCGTGAACTTTATCCCTCTGCATATCATTTCCTCTCCGATATATCATTATCCAATCGTTTAGTAATTTTGCACAATTTACAACTTTAGCTAAATGGAAGTTAATAATTGATAATCAGTTTCTAATTCTACACAATTTATATTTCTGCATGCTAGTCATGCATATATAATTGTAAATGTTCCTGTAAACTGCGTAACTTAACATAGCTTACAAATCCATTTGTATTAATGTCATTTAATTCATTCCACTAAACCTAGTTTGATGACATATCAATTGTTGCTGTATATCTGTTGTCCGAAAAAAAAAAAAAATGCTTATAATGGTGATTATCAAACTATTACATTCAATTCATCATTAAAATTTATAATTTAGACCATAATACACTAATCATTAATAATGGACAATATATCACCTACATTTGCAAGACAAATCACTTAATTAATTAATTAGTAATCCCATTACATCCTGTTTAATTATTGTGATCTACATGCATGCAGATATTATCTCTTTTATGAATAATTTGATAATCTCATCAAAAAATTTTGCGAAGTTTAGTAATTAGTGTAGATTAAGAGAAAATTATATTTTTAATTTTTTGCATATGAAAATGATGTTAATCAATAAAGGATTCATGTTAACTTCATTTCGATAACTCATTTTGTACTTATGCCTTTCATATGTCCATCCATTTTTTCGTTTGTTAGCAATACGGTTGATATTTTGTTTTAACTAATTAAACGAATAACTACTTGCATTTCATATCAATGCATGATGCAATTCATAAGTGAATAACACATAACATTATTCATTTCAATGTAGATGTCATCTGATGAAAGTTTCGAAAGTTGTTTCCAATATGAGTGCGACGAAATAGTAATAATCACCTGAGTTGAAACCCACTAAAAATAAACACACTACAATGTATGTTTATTTGAAGTGGGATGAATAGTAAAGAGTCCAAGATGAAGTGAAACGGAGGAGGAAGAGAAAGAGGTTCAAGGGAAGTCATACATTTTTTATCAATGCTAGATTTCTTGCATTGCTGCTGTTTCAAAGCAACAACTTTGTACAGTTTTTTTTTTTTTGCATTAGGATTTAAAATAAGTTTGATTCCAGTCTTTTCTATATCATTTTTCGTAGATCTAACAAATCCTTTGGATTACTTTTGAAAAGTATATTGTTTAATTTGAATTGATAGCTTAAACGACAACTAGTCAAACTTTGCACAACATGATTAAATTAGGCTTTTACACAATTCAATGAATAATTCTGCCAAAAATTCTGCAATTTCATTACTAATCATTGTTATTTATCATTATGGTTGTTACAACTGCTTTTTGTTATGCCATTTGTTAAAATTCTTTTGTGTAGTAGAAGAAACAAGTCTATTTTACTAATTATCGTCATTTCCATCATTTTTCTCCAACCATATCATCAAAACAATTTAGACACTTCGTTTGATTTCAATAATTTGTCAACCGGCACTAAATGTGTTTGTATCAAAACCAGCCCACTCATTTCTTCTCCTCTGAAAATCTTTTCATTCTGTTTTATTTTAAGTTCTTTCTTTTTATGATTATTTTAATGATTATCGATTCATCACAAATATTTTATTAAATTACTTGGATTTAAGACTATTTTTTTAAAAAAATAATTCCAAAATGAAAAAAGCTGAGAAAAGCAAATTTTAGTTACAAAATAGCTATTTGAAATATTCTTATTTAAAAACTTTTTAAAAATATGTGCAAAAGTGCTGTCGATTATAATTCAAGAAAATGTTATTTATTATTATCAAAAAATGTAAAAATCACTGCGGGAAACTAGTGAAATTTCCCACAGTTCAATTTTCGTTTCAAATTATTTTAACTCATACAATTTTTGTAGGAAATCAGAATTGGTTTTATTTTCGATAAATAATTTTGTTCTGGATAATATGAGTGGTATGAGAAAGAAAGAAAAGAAGGAAAGTTTGACTTTCTCAACAAATTCTCGATAAATTTCTGTCATTGAAATTAAACTTGTTTGCAATAACGTCAACAAATTCCTTTTTCCGACCTATAGAAAAGTAACATCCTTAAACAGTGATTCACAGCATGGCGTAATAAGCACTTCCAACTTTTCCGGTAAAAATTCCATTAATCAATTTCTCATGCAATGACACTGAGGTTGCTAAATACTTGAATCTATTGTTACAAAGTTTGTCGCTCATCAACTTCTTCTTTCATTTCATTCTAATTTAATTTAATTATTACATTCTTTCACTTTTACCTCTTAAAGCTATTATATGCATTTGTTAAAATTTCACATTACATTTCAATTCAATGAATCAATGAAGCATAATATTTCCATACCCTTCATTACTTATGCTCAAATTACTTCATTATAATTTACTATATATTTATACATATTATGCTTGCTTAGATTTTGCACTATCCATAAAAGCCCAAGAGTATATAAAATTAATCGAATATGCAAGAAAAGATGAAGAATTTGCAAATTTATGTCAATTATCATGGTAATTTAAATAGTGTTAATATTATGCAAATTTAATATGCACAAAATTTTTTTTTTTTTTTTCGCCTCTCCTTTTATCTCTAAAAAATTTGAAACAATTATTATGTTTGTTCAAATAATTACTATCAAATTTTCAATGATTTCAAACAAAAATTACGAAGAAATAGCGATAAAATTATTAAGATGGGTAATTTTCATTTTATCTCTTTTACTCTTTACTTTGTCTATGATAAAATTTTACAAATGCCTAACAAAGTTATTTTTGTAGGAAGTGGAAAATCTGGTTATGTTTCATTAGTATAAGACCATATTTTTAAGTGCTTTACAAGACTGTAGTACAGGTTGAAAGTGTTGAGATGACAAGAAATATTTGTTGAATTACAGCACTTCACCAGTGTTTACTATTTTAATGTCATTGCAATCCATTAGCGTATTTTTACAACGTTGTATAACTTGAGATAAATGGTGTTTGTAAATATTATAAATTTTAAAATTCCCAATCGAATTTACTTCTTTTTTTACTATTGTTTTATTTTTTTTTTTTTGGTTGGTTTTGTTAATTTTTCCAACCAAATATAATTTCATCTATATTAATCTAATTAATTTATACACTGACATTTCATATAATTTTCATTTACATAGCAATGCTTACTTACTTTGCCAATGTACTATCACCTGGCACTATGTGTCATTTCAAAAAAATGCAAAAATGATTTTTGAAAAAAAAAAAAAAAAAAACCGAACATATGTGTATCATAATATTAGATTGGAATGATAATACCACACATCGCACGTTATATTAAGTTATGTGTCATTCAGATAAAGATTACATTTTTTTCATTAGACATCTTTTTTTTTTTTTTTCACAAAGAAATTTTTAGAAAAATTTAAGAGCAAACTTTTTAGATTCGATTTGACTCGATCATTTTTCATGATAAATATATAAAAAGATTATGGATTCGAACTCGTGGTGATTTTAAGATAATTTATTTGCAATGTTTATAATTTCTAGGTAATGTATAATCAAGAAAATCAAGACGATAAGAGAAGAATTGATGAACGATTGGTCTTATCAGTACCATATGATGATACTGTTGAGAACATATCATATATCAAACCAGTAAAACTATCTCATTGTTATTCAGACGAATGTTTGGAAGCTAATAAAAAAATTTTAGACGATTCTGATCAGTCTTTAAGTCAAAATTCACCGGTTAGTCCATTGTTTTCATATGCACTTCTTTTTTTTTTTTTTTTTAATAATTATAAGATTTCATGAAAATCACTCAATTTTTAAAATTAATTTATAATCTACTAGTAGAGAGAGAATAAAGAGAAATTAATTGAAATTAAATAGATTATAACTTCGAGACAAATATTAGACTTTCAGTATTAAACATTCGTTTTACAGATTGTGCAATCAAATTATGATCGATCAAGTGGACGCCTTAGTATTGATGATTCTGATTTGATCGATGATTCAACAAGTGGTATTTTTTTTTCTACTTTCAACAAGAACTCTGGTTTAAATTATTTTCAATTAGAAATTTATAAATGTTTGAAAAATTGCTCATTCATTTATTCATAAATGCTTTGAAGTTTGTCACTTTTTTCTTTGTTGTTTCAATCCTTTTATTGGTCATTTGACCAAATCCGAATAGAAATTATGCATATGTATAGGATGACAAAGACTACGGTACGGAAATTCCGGTAGGTAGACGGAAAGGAAAATGTGATTATGTTTATGTGACTAATGTTTAATCGTACTTTAATCGTAAAAGCAAGAGTATTCTATGCTTCAAAAACATTGTCAAAAGAATCATTACTTATTTGCTTAAAATTTTTTGCCTTACATTAAGAATATAATAAACAAAAATGATATTGTAGTGGCGCAATTGTCAACATCTTCTCCGATATCAGTCACATCTGCATCAACATCATCCTTTTATCCAACACTTAATGTCGGCAGTGGAGCAGAAGTCAGTGCAAAATATGCAAAGTATGCTCTAATTGTTTTATTACGTTCATCCTATTCAAGCTCTAAAAAAATTATGAAAGAAAGCTTTGAATAAAATATAGCGGTAAATAATACTTAGAAAAATTTTCAGTCACTAGTTATAATTGAAAATTAAATTTCTAACTTGTCACTTTATTATAATTATTAATTATTATTATTATTCAGAATTGGGCAGTCACAAGGGACTAAAAGTGATCAAAGTAGTAGTTTACGGCTCAGCGATAAATACAAGGTAGTTTTTACGATTTTAAAGATTTTACTAGTAGATTTGGTGAATTAATATGCTGTAATTCTGCAGATTAATAAAATGAAGAATGAAGTAATTTATGTGTTAAATTATGAGTACTGGAAGTTAAGTGTTTATTAATGTACAGTTTTGTTAAATTAATTGGATTCAGGGAGTTATTATCAGGCAAATTAAAACAATAGAGTTTCTAGAAATATACATCTGCAAAAAGTCGGTTAAACGAATTATGTGAAATAATTGAGAAGAAGGATAAACAATTGCGATTAGTTCGAAATGGACTTAATGAGAAGGATCTGGAAATTGGGAAGTTGCATGATAGGATTAGAGCTTTGGAATATAATTGTGGAAGATTGCAATCGGTGATTGAATCTGTTGGGTTTGTTCATTTTCATTTTCTTATTAAACTTCATTTTAATAATCTGAAATTGATTAAGATAAAAGTAGTGAACTGGAATAATTTCACTATTATTAAATGAAGAATGTGTAAATTTTGAACTTTCTAATTCACCATTTATCGAAATCGTTTCAAGTATTCTTCTACTCATGTGATTCATCAGATTTCCTTTCCACGAATTCAGATACATTAAAATCAGAAAATTGATACGAGATTGACTAAACAAAGAAGTAATTAGAGAATGAAATAATTTATGATAAGATCAAAGAGAAAGCACCGAATATTTCCCGATTTATGAAGCACTTGGGCAACCAATCGCTTTGCATCAGAATTAATTAACTTGCCTTGAACAGAACTTTATCAGTTTTTGATCATGCCGCATTACTGATGAGTGGATCATATTAAATTGTTTTCCCATTTTCTCCAAATGTAACTCTTTTTTTGCTTATGCTAATGAATTGCAGAGATGAATCGGATCAAAATCAGATAAAATTAAATGAAATTATCAATGAACGAGATGGTTTGCTTGTTAGGAATGCTTCACTTTCACGACAGGTACGTAATGCATTGATTGATGAGATCATAACATTGATTCAGCAGTAAATTAATTTAACTATTAATATACAAGTAATTTTTAGAGTACTTCAAGGTGACAATTTTTTGCTTTACATAATATGATATGAATAAATTTATAGTTAAATGTTCATTTTAAGAAAGCGATAATATTTAACAGGTGAATTTTGACTTACTGTTTTTCAATTTTCCCATCAGCTTTTCAAATCATTGAAATGTTCATCCGCAATCTGTGTACAGTTTTACAAATTAATCATACCAATAATATGAATTGTAAATATTTAACAATAAATCTATTCATATAATTAATTATAGATTGAATTCGAAAAACGAGAATGGTCGATCGAACGAGAACGTCTTTCAATGGATCTTGATGATGTAACCAGAGAACTTGAATTACAAAAAATGATTTTAAATGGTGAAAGTATCTCAGAAATTGTTCAACGGGTAAGAAGAATTTCTAACATTTTTTTACGGTGTTTTTTTTTTTTTTATTAATGGAAATGGTGAAAAAGAAGAAAGTAATTTACCCTACTAGCAATAAATTTTCTAATTTCATAATACTTATATCATAAATTTTATCAACATTGAAATTTTTACCTTTCAAGAGGATTTTTTGTGTAAGGATCTATTATTTTATAACAATTTAGTGGCAAACAAAAGTATTTGAATTGGAAGGAATGATAACTGATCGAGATCATGCAATACGGGCGCAAGAAGCTCGAATCAGTAAACTGAAGCAATCACTAGCAGAAGTTGATCGTATCTCTTGTGATGATTCATTAGAAATGCAAACAAAACTTGATTTTCCTTCGTTCAATTCTTTAAAACATCTACTGCTACAATATCTTACTAGGTACCATTATTAACAGTATTCAATTCAATAGTTTAAATAAAGATTTTCATAGATTTAAAATTTTCTAAAATATCATTTAATATCTGATTTCGTAAATAGATAGTAGATATGAGTCATATCTTGGGATTTGTTTTACTTTACTTACAAGCACTACACAAAAAATTAATCTTTTAATTTAACAAAAGTAAAAATGATAATTAACTGATAGATTAGCATTTCAGTTCCGATGAAGAACGAATGCAGCTACTACATAACGTGTCAACTATGCTTCATTTATCAGATGAAGAGCAACGCCAAGTATGGGCAAATCTAAAGAGCAAAATTCGCATTTCTTGAATTATTAATGAATTGATATTTATGCTAAAAAGTGACAATTATCTGTATTATTAAACAAAATCATCACTATTCATCAGTGAAATGCTTCTTGTTTATTACTATTCTTATTATTATTTTCTTATTGTATTGATAAAATCCGGTGGAAACTTTCAGAATTAACATATTTCAAAGAAAAAAGAAAGAAAAAGTTCATAAACTGTAATAAGTTTACATGAAAATATTTTGAAATATTTTGTTAATTATAATAAAAAGATGCATTTATTATTTAACAAATAACATTTCGAAACAAACTATACTTACTGTGCTTTTTTTTTTCCTAAATTTTTGATGAAGTAATTTCTTTCGAATCAGTGGATAGTACTATTTTTATTATCAGGTCTGCATGATACAGTATTTGTAAGAGCAGCACATAGAGCTGAATAAAATCAAACAGATTTGATTTCAAATAGATCATGAAAGTTTGAACTGCTCAAAGTGTTGGATTTATATATATATATGAGACTGCTGAAAACGTATATATAACGTATGTAAAATAATTAAATAAAGAAAACAGAAGACACATATGAAGGAGGTAGAATTTATAAGATTCAAATAAAAACTGAGAATGAAATGCAAAAAACGTATTGATAAACCGTAATAATAATAATAATCATTATATGATTATGGAACAATTAATATTTCAAAGTAAAAATTGCAAGGAATTAAACAACTTTGTATCTTTTTTAGTTTTTCAATTCTTTCAGAATTCTGACACCAATTTTAGTAAAATCACTTCATAAAATGAATTTATTTGATAAACAATCAAGAACATTAAGGAAACAAAAAAAAAAAAAATAGCATACAATTCGCAACAAAAATTCATTTAGCACTTCAGTGAAAATGAATTGTTAACATGCGATTGACAACAGTACTGGCACAATTAAATAAACTCATATTATATTATTTTCAAATTTTAATTTTATTCTTAACCTTACAACTAATTACATATATCAAATAACAAGTGAGGAGAAAAAAAAGTGATGGAGAAAAGAAATATTACTGATAAAAGAATATTTGAGCAAAAGTGATTTATATTGAAATTTCATGAATTCAACAGTTACTTTGCTGATGAAGTTTACGAATACTCATTGATCGTCGTTTTCTCATGAATCCCAATGTTAAGAGATCACGAAAACACCGACGGAAATCATGATTATACATCGTATAGATTATTGGATTCAATACCTATAATACATTTTGAAATTTTCATTTAAAAATTAGAATGAGTATAAATTATGTCAAGGTAATTAACATTTTATTAAAAATCCATCAATGCAAAATATTTTTTAATTTCTGCTATCTTATAAGAAGTTCAAATTTTTTCATTTTCAATGAAAACTAACAGAATTTGAATAGCCTAGCCATAGGAAAACTTCTTGTGTGGCATAAATAATGTCATTAGGGCTGCTCACTAGCACTTCGATCAGGTAAATTACAAAGAAGGGAAGCCAACATATTGAAAATGCTGAAAGTTATTGAATTTAATAGAATATGTCAGTTCAGATACAAGTTTACTGAAGTTTAGCGATTTTCGGAATGAAAGAAAGCAAAAAATATTCCTGATAAATGAAAAAAAAAAAATTTTTTTTTTTTTTTTTTGAGAACTTGATAAAATACTGGATAGCTTTTTAGTTGATGTTATAGTAAATCAAGTTATAGATTTATATTTATCTAGATTTTTCCATTTTACATTTGTTACTTTTCATTTCTTTCTTTCTTTTTTTTTTTTTTTTTTTTTTTTTTTTTCAAGTTATTTACAGATATCATTCAAATATAAATGTGGAAAATACAGAAAAAAAGGATGGCAATCGTTTTCAGAGCTTTTCGTTCTTTCATGTAAACAATTTTCTCTCTGGAATTGTGGGTAAATTTTCCAGGGCCACAAGTTTGATAACGATCATGAGCTTTGGCTAATAAATAACGGGGTTGTAACTTGAGGTAACAATGTTGTGCTATTCTGGCTAACGTTAGCACAGAACCATCATCAGTATCCATATGATTTACTGGTAGCTAAAATTTAACAATTAATATTCTTCTAATATGTGTGATAAATTTAACTTATTTTCACATCAGTTATTTCTAGATAAATTTGCAACGATCATTTCTCATTTCTTATTGCTAATTAAATTTCAAATTAATATATCTCATTAACGTTACTTTGTAAGGAGAAATGTGTTTTGAATCGTAATCTAAGTCACTTAGTTATTGTTGAAGACTAAAATTATTTCATTTATTTTACTAATTAACCAATTGTAGCAATCAATCTTAATTGGTAAGATTCATTGCAAGTATCAACAAAAGTATCAACAAATCTTGATGATATATTGCTATCCATTTTTGAGTATTATCTCTCTTAAGCATAGGAAAAATTAACTTTATCCATTAATGATATATCTTTAAAATTTAATGTAAATAAATTAGCAAAACATGTTTATATTACTAATCCTTAAATATATACTTAATGTTAATAAGCAAAGATGTCCGAATTGAAGGACCTTTGTTCTATCATTTGATTTCATCTCAGAATTGAGTGAATTCGATTTAAGCGCAGACATGCCAACACTGATAACGCTGTACATTAAATCGTGTGTTGTTTGTTTTTCGGACATTGATTCTTCTTCCGAATAAACCATACCGTTAGGCTGTGAATAGTAACGTTCATTGCTATTCCTACAAAATTATTCCTAATAATTGCTTAATATAAAAATTCAAATTTTATGAAATCTGTTGAGGTCAAATGTCATAGCAATAATATGTGTAATCTTAAGCAAAGCATTTTTTTTTTCTTTTTGTCCTCTAACTCTTTAAAAATAATCATTGTTATTTATGATGACCTGAAAGTTTATACTTTATAAGAATTTGAAATAAGGAAATAATCTTATAATGCTCAGTAACATTATAAAATTATTTCAATTTTATTTTAAACTTTTCTATCAAAGATAATACTCGTATAAATTTTTGAAACTTAAATATTAGCAAGCTTTTTTCATTGTAGCTGTTTTTGTTTTTTGCATTCATTTGGAAATTATTTCTTGTTTAGCAACAGAAGGCTAACTAAATGTTATTGTCACAGATCCCAACTTTTGAATATTTATCGTAATTTCAAGTAGCATCTTGTATTCTCGACTAGTACTTCAAATCTTCTTTCACTGTAGTGCAAATATATTGGAAGTGTTTCATAAGAAGTGATTCTTAAGTACAGCATACTCATAATGTGTTAACTTTGTGATAATATTGTAATTACTGAACTTATGATTGATAATCATTAGAATTGGAGATTAGGAAGATGAAAATAAATTTCAATCCATAAATCAATTTAATTTAACCTGTCTTTGCTTAGACTACTAGAAGTGTGGCTTTTCTTGGATCTATCATATGATTTCAAATTGATGCTCTTCCACAAAACTTTTTCCCGTGTCGATATAATCCGAAATATTTTGTAGTACACCGAGCACATTAGCTAAAAAATAAGTTTCACGAAACTTTTTCAGCTTAATAATATTATTTGTTGACAAAAATTTATCATTTCTAGCTTATTTAATAAAAGGAAAAAAAGTGAAGAAAAATATAAGTTTTTGAAATTAATTGGATTTCAATTCAGAAGTTTGGCTACTATCTAAGAATAGACAAACTTAAATTAGGCATGTTTATACCAAAAGTGGAATGAAGAAGCTCGCCATTGAACTGTATATTCGGTACATGATCCCACTGGGATAACCGCAAACAATCATATTCAAACATGAAGTGGGTGCAGAAATATTCGCACGAGTGGTTATGGGATAATCATCGAAATGAAATATCCATGGTGGGGTACAGACTATGAATGAGATCAACCAAACTGAGCCCAGTAATAAAGCGGCTGTTTTACGATTTCTATAAATGGCTAGTATAGTATGCGAAATTTCCATTAATATTTGTAATATGATGCTGATAATTTTGATAAGATCACTTCACTTAATAAGGAGGAAAAAAAGTAAATTGAAAATGTTAAAATTTTTAAGGTTCAGAATTTTCCAAAATTCATCTCAAGTAATTTCGTTGTTGTTGCTGTTTTTGTTATCTTCTATTTCTTGTGATTCAGCTTGTGCAATTTTGTCTAGTCAAAGGTTATTCTTCCTCACTTAAAAAATGTTATGTTAAACCAATGTCAACAATTGATTATAATTTCAGATGTTGATTGAACTTTATGCAAATTTGCACTTAGATCTAGGCATTGCAGCTGTTATCTGTCTTTAGCGCTTGCATAAATAATGCATGGTTGACATCGTCAACACACTATCTCTGAGATGTTTACAATCAAATCGCTTTATCAGCATCGAATCCAATATTGCTAGTTTTGCATTGATGTAGTCAACGATTACTCCCTTAGCAATTAGTTTAGAAATGACAGTTCAATTTTATGAGTAATTTCATGAATCGAAAAAAAAAATTTTTTCTTTTTTTTTTTAAATGATATCTTTGTTAATTAAAGTATTAAAAGCTGAATACCTCGTTCTGGAATATTTTAATGGCTTAGAGATAGCCAAATAGCGATCAATTGATATAACACAAAGATTGAGAATGGAAGCTGTACAGAAAAGGACATCACTTGTTGACCAGACTTTACATAATAACATATCGAATGGCCAAGCATGATTTAATAGTAAATCCAATAGCGATAATGGCATTACAAATAAACCAACTAAGAGATCTGGAATTTTTTTTTTTTTTTTTTCAACTATTTCTTCAATTTCATTAATTCCAAAATAAGGTGAAATATTTTTGTAATGAATATCATTTAAAGTATTTACAAATGTAGTTTTATATAACTTCAAATTTAAAAGTTTTGTACATTTATGCTTAAATTACTTTGAATTTAACATTTAGATTCGATCATTTCGTAAACATTTTTAATGTAATTGAGTATTTATCTGGTTTTTTTTTTTTTTTTTCAAAATGTTTGCAATCACTTCAGACCAGGAAATGTTTCTATGGATATGATGACGTTATTACAATATAAATGTAAAAAATGGAGAAAACGAGCATATTTCAGAAATTTCAAATCGTCCAAAACGAACATAAACCATTATTGTGTATTGGTTAATTGAACTTAACCGGAATAGATTAAACCAACCGTCGAGTGTTAAATTTAGGATAAACATGAAATTATACTGAGGTGCTTCTGAGATATGGACTAATAATTGCTATAATTAGAGTAATACGGTTTTCATGGTATGTATTAATAATAAATTTTAGCAATAGCTAAGATTTGCAAAAAAAAAAAAAACAAAATTTTCTAAATAATATAAGATATTTAAGTTAATTTATAAATTATTGCCCATTGATACTAAAATCAATTTTGCAAATGATACATTTGCTTAAATTAACTTACCAGCAGTGGCAAGTGATGTTAATAACTTATTTGTAAATGTTCTCATACGCTTATAAATGATCACGGATAGTATGACAAGTGTATTTCCAACTATCACAAAAAATATTAATATAATCTGAAAAGAAAGTAATCAATTTAAAGATTAAATGATTTGATTAAATGTGAAATAAATGTAAAAAATAATAACTTTCCTACAAAGCTAATATACTTTAACAACAACGTATCGATCTTTTAATCTATGGAATATATCTTTTCACGGAAAATATAAAAGACATAAGATACGATTAACCTATATTCTATCTTTTCTCTAGAATTTACTCAATAAAATGACAACAGTGGTTAGAAGAATTCTTTCATCCTGCAATTCCTTAAAAGAATTAACCATTAAGTAGCCAACAGCCATACCAGAACAATGGCGATGATAATTTGATGAACGGTTAAATATGATGATAATCTTTCTATTATTGTACAATTCGTCATGACAGAAGTTGACATTATTGTTTCGAAGATACTTCTGCTGTTACTGCTTGCATAAATGTTACACTGTTTAAAAACGATAATATTTGTTGAATTTGGTAAAATTTATATTGAAATACAATGTTGACATCGTTTGTGACAGGTTTGCTATTATCCTTTAAATTCAAATAACATCCTTTTAATTTAAGCAATGGAAAAATTTTGCAAAAGAAAAATGTGATGGTTTTTCGAGAAGAACACCGATTCACTACGATGTAAATACATTAGAACACTCATGAGCTTTTCATTTATTTAAATTCATCATTCATCAGTTTTTTTTTTTTTTTTTCGTTTAATTTTATGTACTGAAATTAATAAAAATTTTGTGACTTTCGAAAAGCTTTTTCAAAAATTCAAAAATATTATAAATATTATATTTTGAAAATAAATGATTTAACAGTAGGAACAAGATGAATCCATTTATCTATCTGCTTAAAAATAAAAAAAAAAAGTGAAAAAATTATCTATTCATTTGGAAAGAGAGTAGAAATGAGACTAGCTTATATTTATTCATCATCTTTCAGGCAGAACTACCAGATGTCAATGTGATCAACTTTGAGCAAATCACTTCAGCTATTGTTTAATGTTTAAAAAAATTACAAAAAAAATGTCCTTCTGTTATAATGATAATTTATAATATTTCTATTGAAAATTAATTTACAATACTTTCTATTGCTTTTATCATTTATAATATTGCACCTTCAGTTAACAAAAAAATTCTGACACTTACATCTACAATACACTATAAAAGATATGATAAATAATTGACTGAAAGTTTGATATTTATGAAAAAAAAAAATTTAATGCAACAAGCTTATCAGGTACCATTGTTCGACAAGAATTTAATCAAAGAAAAAAAAAAGAATTAAACTAAACAGTGTTTAATAATATGCGGTTCACTGTGTAATTTTGGGAAAAAAAAAAAAATCCTAACAAAATATTTCTGACAAAATTTCTTCAAATTTCTAACAAAATATCACTTTGTAGTATTTCAATTAATTTATAGAACTGATTTCACTTGTTTCCAACATTGAAACTTAAAAAAATGAGGAAAAAAAAAACGAAGAAATTTTCTATCGAAAGCTATCCATATAATAATTAGCATATTACAATTTCAATTCACTTTATGGATTAAATATAGAATTCCAACAATCGGGTTGTTATATGACTGATAGTAAAATTTTATATTACTAATTTTAAAAATGAAGCTAGAGGAAAAATGAGAATTATTGAAAACAAATCAAAATTATCAAAATCAAGTTTCTTTAAATATTGAGTTAGGATATGAATAAAGAAGTAGTAGGATAGGGATTTCTCTTCATTAACTTTTAATTATTTCTCTGAAATTCCTAGTCTATTCTAGCCCGTTATATATAACTGATATAGGTAAGTGTACTTCATGAAGATGTTTGAAAAAAAAAAATGAGGTGGAAAAGATACAAACAACAATAAAATATATGTTTAGTTTAATGATAAATTTACACTTGACATTTCATTAGGAAGAAAAGAAGAATGTTAAGTAAGTAACACACTAATATATCTGATCTACTTGATTGTAATATCCTAAAGTAGCATTTTTTGCAGCAATTATTGAGACTCATCGAAAATATTTAATTTTGAATGCTTTCCTTTTTCAAAATAAATTCCGCCTTTTAATCAACTTTTCAACACAAAAGCAAAGGTATAAACAAACTTAGCAAAAAAAGCGTTATTCTTCATGTTAAAAATTGAATGTAAATTCTAATTTTTTTTTTTTTGTAACGATTGAAATATGAAAAATTTTGATTGTAATTTTATTGAAAATGGCAAAACTAAACTGAAAGTATATGAAATAATCGCCAAAAGAGAAAAGAGTGGACTTTGTCACCGTAATTTTAGGAATGCTGAAAAACAACTTCATTCAAGTGAGGAAGTTATCAGGCACTACTACTACTATCCTTGTGGGCTTAGTTACATTCTAAAAGTAAAAAAAATTGATTAAAACTGAGCTAAGTAAATTCCAACACATCAGTTTATTCTTAAATGTACATAGCTAATGATCTATTTCTGTTTCTTTGAGCAACAAAAATTTCAAATGACACAAGTTCCTAGACTCATTTACTTTGCCAAGTCTTCGAATTACTTCCATAGTAACTTTTTTTTTTTCCGAAAAGGAAAATTGAGATTTTAGTTTTAATTGAAAGTTTGACTACCTAATTATGAATTTTGATAGTATAATATTGGCAAACAAATGTTGGCATACAAAAGCGTTTGAAAATTTCCTTTTTAATTTTTCCTAAAAAAAGTTAACTTTAGAGAAGTTAGATCAAGAATGAAATAAATTCTTTCATTTCAAATAAATTTAATCATTTTTTTCCAAAAATGAAAAAGAAGAGGAAAATATTAAGAAATAGTTGCAACTTAATTCATCTCAATGAAACTAGAAATAAATTCAAAATTAGCGTACAATATCTCTTGAAGATAACTTTTAAATTACTACGTTTTTAGCAATATAAGGACGTTGATCATTAAAGGCACCAGCTAGCTGCATTAGCAACCTCTCCCGCATTTTCTGTGATTGAAAAATGCTAGGTTTAAGCTCTCCATCTCTCTCCTTTCTCAATTTAGCTAGAAAATTATGCTTGCCCATCCAAAAAGTGATCAATACAATTCAGATATAATTTCTGAAAGAGGAAGGGAAAAAACCCATCACAGCGTGACACATTTCCAAGAATTTCATAACATAAGCCACATTTCTGAATGAAAGAAGTTAGCACATTCACTGACATATCAGAAACATCGCAACAGAATCGCAAATGATCGCTTCATTTGAGTTATGAAGAAGTTTACAATTGTTATCTGATAACTTCGACAAAATAACTTCACTTTAACATATGTGTTATATGCATAATAATAAATCAGACAAATGAAAAATTTTCACTTTTATGCAAAAACGAATACTCAAAAATTCTTTAATATGTTATGATTGTAATGCATAATGATCATATACATACATTCTTCCATTTAATCTTCATTTCTTCTTTTAATTGAAAATATATCGTAGAAAAATTCCTCGATAACACTGCACAGGAAATTAAACTTTAAACATTTTCAATTTTCGCCAAATGAGCTTGAAACAAGAGCAGAAACAGGAACAGGAAAATAGGACTTTTTATTTTCTTGCTATTTGTGCGAAGAGAATGTGTGTGTGTGTGTGTGTGTGCAATGTAAACAGGCAAATATTTCCAATTGCTTCATGACCAATTGATAAAATTTAGTATTGTTAAAATGAATTCATTATAATAATATATATTCTTTCTAATTTTATAGTTTCCAAAAATTTTACGAAATGATATGAAAGAATAAAACCATTATTCAAAGGATGATAGAAACTGATAGTATACTTCAATTAAATATTGAATATGTTAGCATTTACTTATTCGAACTTCTTTGATTAGCAAATTGGAAAAAGAAAAAAAAAATAAATAAACCATTTTTGAAATGATTACATATTGTTAAAGTAAAGTAAAAAGAAGAAAGAACTCAATAGTCAATAAAATAATAATCCATGCATGGTTCATCTACCGGTAGGTAAAGCACTACGGTGCTAAATTTTTTAACGGTTCGACGCATTTATATTCCCATTGCAATACGATAAATAAATAACAGCTGAAGTTATGCTTTTGCAATTTCCATTAATGTGTTAAATGTGGTAATTCTGCCTTTTCATAAAGTTATATTCAAAATCGGTGCAATTTATAATACGTCGCATTAAACTTGCGCATCATAAATAAGAAATATAATATAAACTGAGACAATCCTTAATATTTAATCCTACAGAATATCCGATGCCATGTTCAATTTTTGTTCCAGGTTGATATAAAATCGATGGCAAAATTTTGACTTTGTTATCAAAACAATCTGTTTATGATTAGAATAATAAGTAAATCAATAACTAAATTATTAAGATCGTTTTAATGAAAAACTCAAGTTATCGTTTTACAGGTGACAATGTAAAATTCTCATTTTGAAATCACTTTCAGCTTTATCATCTTTTTTTTTCCATGAGACTAATTTCAAAAATAAGAATTCCAAATGTGAGAAATTAAACGTTTAATATTAAAGAGAAAATTACATACACAATTACGATGTTTAATATAATACAAACAAGTAAACACTGAATTATTAAAAATATGTGAAATTAATTCGCTGAAAAAATTAATTAACTTGCAAATGAAATGTCACAATATACAAATAAATTCTAAGTGCAGTAAATAAATATTTAATGTACTAAATTTTCGCACAAAGTTAGCTTATAAAAAAAAAAAAAGTGCATAATAGCTTTCAATATAAAAGCTTTCAAATACAACACTTTCAATAAGTGTTCAACCACACTCAATTTTGATGCTATAAAAATGATACTACAACAGTGGTAAACATAAAAGTAACAAGTACAATATAAATTGTCCAGAAACTCCATAATTTCCATGTTGCAAGGCAGAACCTATAATATTATATCTTCTATTAAAATTGCTAACATTAGCCACTAGCATATTAGGAAACAATAAATCAGTAAAAAAAAAAAGAGTAAGTGAAAAACCAAAAAGTCTAACTTTTAATCACTATTCGTTCTTATCACATAAAATTGCAAAAATGAGCTTATTCACAACATTTCAAATATCAATTAAATATGAAAATTCTTAAAATTCCAAAAACTTACATGATGCAAGAGAAGAGGAAAAGGATAACTGCTATGAAAAATAATTTCGGATAGATTTTTGGCCATTCATATGATAAATTTCGATCATTGTTTGAGCAGAGATATAGGCCAATCAAAAAAAAGCATAGCTGACAAAGTACTGAATAAAACAAGAAAGACCTGAAAAAAATTTTTCTAAAAAGTTTAATTTGATGCATGCACGAGAATAAATTGAAACATACATGGGACAGAGCAGTAAATTGAATTTTGATGTAAATGCAAATTTTAATTATGTTGTGGAAAATTATTTTATGGTTGAGGAAGAACATTCCCAATTCAAATATAAGCAAATTTCAAGTAGACCAGAAATCAGAAATGTCCAACTTACCAATTAACTCGTACATCAATTAATAATGACAATGGAAGCTCAAAATACCACACAGTTAGAATAAAGGTACAACACCAAAGGATGTCATCTACCTATAATAATAAAAACACGAAAATCAAGTAATCCTGTAATTCATCATCATTATACTGTACAAAGAATAAAAAAAAAAAAAATTTACCTGTAAACTACGTCTTAGTTTTATTTGACAACCGTTTAGGTGAGTATTTAACGATGAAAATCCGGAATCAAGTGAATCCACTGTATGATTAGTATCTAAGCGTCGCCTATGACGAGATTCTCGCCATGATACGACATTCCTCAGTCGGCAATTTTGGAATGCCATAAGCTAATACCACATACTTCAGAAAAAACTGGTGAAACAACAGTAAATGTTATCAAAAATTAAAATCTCAAATAGATTTTTAATACTTTCCGGATTCGGACGACCAAAATTTCACGTGAATAAAATATTGCTTGGCTGAAATATGCTGGAAAGTGAACCACTCTTCATTGCAAATTTAAGACCTAAAAAAATCATTAGAAAATCTACTCCGTAGGAAACCAAAATGAAGAGTGCACCACTTGATTTAAATGTCAAAATAATATCTTTTAGTGCAAATTACTATAAACACACTGATGAGGAGATCGATGACAGTCGTATCATCCACCTCGATATCTCATATAATAATACCGTGGTGCAGCATCTGACTCTGTTAATTCTATTCCAGTCAAAACATAGACAACAAACACACTTCCGAAAAAAGTAAACATCCATCATTCCTTATACTAGTGTCAAGCTATCTGAATATCCCGTACCGACAATGCACCACTATGTGATACGATATCAAACTGTTATCCTTAAAGAGCTCATCAAGTGGATGTTTTATACAGCCATCTTCTTTCCGATTCAAATTATATCGTGAATCTGACACTCTAATTTTAATTCGTGTTCTCGTCAGTCTTCAATTACAACGCTTTCAGATTCAAACTAAGATTGACTGCTCGACGATAACCGCCACTGTCTTTGTTTTAGAGAAAATGAAAACAGTTGCTTACTGTGAATCAGAGTATTATGTAGTCAAAAGAATTCATCCCGAAATTACATAACAGACATATTTGGCAAACGCAATAAAGAAAACGAGAAAGAAAAAAGAACAAACGGAATAAATTCATCAACTGAAAAAAAAATTCAAATGAAGAAGAGACAATTAAATTAAAACAAGGAAAGAAAAGAGAAATTTCAGAAGAATTTCTGAAGCATAGTGACAATAAAATGACTGCAAGTGAGCATATTTGCTCTGACAGCAAATATTAAAACAGTAGGAAACAACAAATCTGTGGGTTGGCAGCTTAGTAAAATTAAGAAAAAAGTTCACATACAGTTATAATACGCAGTAAATTTTACTGCGCTTTGTGCTCGGAATAAAAAAAATCCACCTATGATTTATAAAACTCATTCCTACTATCACATGTAATATTTCATACTTTCCTTCCCTGTTCAACAATAATAATATCAAGGTCAGGGCTAGGAAGTATAGATGACTTGACTGAGATTCGAAAAATTTTAGCAGTGAATTGAATGATCCTTTTTACTTTCCTTATTTTATACATCCTATCCTGAATAATATCCAATTGCAGCATATGTACATAATAAATATTGCAAAAAATGAACCTAAAGTTTCTATTAGGAAATCATCGCATCGGAAATAAGTGAGATCGGACAAAGAAAACAAAGTTCATCAGTGTTCTCGAATAATAACTCGTCAGAATTATTTTCAAACTTTTTACTCGTACTACAGATCTTTTCCTATGAGCAATTATATTGTTCTTTTTCTATGACTAATTATATTGTTCCTATAATTAAATATTTTTACGCCGTTTTATTAATTGAAGAGAACACTGAGAAATGACCCGAGGCAATTATATTTAAGTTGCTAGACCAAGTCTTTTTTACAGTTTCGAGACATCGATTTTAAACGACTCGAAGAACGCACCGCCGATATTCCATCATCTGAAACAGAATAATGAAAAAAAAAAAAAAAACCGGAGAAAGACGAAATGATGAGTTTTCTCTTTAAGCGAACAACGGATGCTAGTGAAATGCTGATCTCAGAGATCTCGAATACATAACTACTCGCGATGTTTTTGATCGTTAATGAAAGTACCGAACACCGATATCTCTTTACACTGAGAAACTATTTGTACCTTTGCATGGATCAAAAAAACATTTTCCTTTCTCATCAAAAAAGAAAAGAAAATTACATGAACTTTGTGTAAGCGCTGAAGCACTAACGCCCATGCATGGTTGTGAAGGTCGATGGGCAGCATATTCTGGACTTTGGGAACGATCAACACGACTCGACGATCTAATACGATCATCTTCCTCTGAATTTTCTTCATCTGCTTCTGAAGACGAGCAAAATGCTGATCGATTATTATCGTTCATTAATGAAGATCTTTGACTATCATCATCTTCTTGACCTCCACCACAACTACCCATTGCTCCATTTCGATGATCTTAAATTCATTTCACTACGTTTTTTTTTTTTTTTTTTCTTTCCTTTATTCTGGTGAAAATGTACTCTTTCAAATTCCATTACAAATGAATCAAAAAAACTAAATGATATAAGTAGCTATCAAAAAAAAAAAAAAAAAAATGTAAAATGAAACAAGATGAAATAATGAAAGTAGGAGATAAATATTACTTATCCTATTACGACTACTTGGCCTAGTATTTGCTAAACTAGGCTTCTCGTGCATGTGCTTTACATCACTGTCGAATAACAATGCATCGGAAACAGCATCGTAATGTTCGTTGACATCCATAAGATGGCTATCAGGTGAATCCACTACTTCCTTTGAGTGCTTTAATAATAATATATTAGTAATAAAACCAATGAAAACGCTGAAAGATAAAATATATCAAGAAAAGATAAATTTTATATGAGGGCATATGAAAATAAACATACTGTATCGTTCTGAATGTCAGATGGAGGAGCATTTGGTGGAGGTGGAGGTATCATATCGAGTAATGTCTGCTTGGGCGGACTTCTCTTTCCATTCAGAGTACTTCCTTTGTTTCGTCCATTCGAACTTCCTGCAATTATATCATCAGCTTCTATCAGTTTAGTATACATTGAGATTTTTGGTTTAAATAGTTCGGTCTCTTGTAAAAATACAACCTGAACATCAAATCATGACTTGGCAGAGTGTTTCATACGAAGTCATCTATATATGTACGACAATATTCAAATGGTGCATATAAGCCGAATGTTAGAATTCATAAGAAATTCATGTTTTAGCAGTAACGAAATTGACATAGAAAATAATATACCTCCGGTACCATCAGAGGACTGTACATAAGAAACATCAGTATGCGGAGGACTTCCCGAATGATGATGACCAATAGAACGCATTTTGCTATCAATAAATGGAGAACGCCGCTCGCCTAATGTACTATGATGTTTCCCAGTTTCCTTGAAGCGTAGCGGAGGAGCAGAAGGAACCGGATTGGAAGGAGGCATCGGAGCCCGAAGCATATGATCTTTTAACCATCGCTGCCTGTTGCTCATCACCAGAGTTGTTGTTGCATACGGGGAGGGATCATCCTAGAACAAATTATCCGATTGTTATATACAAGATGGAATAAAATAATCTAATTATTAAGTTCACCATCAGTGTTCACTTATCAGTAAGTAAAATTCACCAAACTACGTTTATTTTTTTCAGCTGCATATTAAAAGAAAAAAGAAAAAAAGCCTTATAAAAGTTCACTATTACTGTTCAAGAAATCTGTAGAGATTGAAAAGTATACAAACAAATTGAATACAACTAACCAGAACCTGATGACCACCGTAGAAAGTTGACAAACTGGATGCACCACCAGTAAGCGCGGCATAATGATAATGATTAGGTGACTGAGCTCGATCCATAGTCGCTAGCATATGTGCTGATGTATCACGGTGTAATATCTGACCATCCATATAAAAGTCGGTTTGATGTGGAGTTTGTGTATAAATGGGCGGCCCATTACAATGTACACCATTTATGGAACTATTTAAAAGGGAACGCTGTGCTGAATTAAAATTCGGATGATCCATCCATAAGGCATCTCGCGCTATCAGATGAACACTGCCATCATTGATTTTAATAAACGGCATACCCAAACGAACTGAAAATCAAAACTGCCTCTACAAACGAATCTGTTCGAAAAAATTTCCATTATAGAATAGTATTATTTTATAACTGATGTTTCTAGTTTTTTTTTTTTTTTTTTTTTTTTGTGAATTAAACTACTGTTACCATTAATACTCCAGATTCTTCAGTCCACAATGACATGCATGCTTATTCAAACAAAAAAATTAAAAACAAAAGTTAAAAACTAAAAGATTAAAAACGAAAGACTGAACCGAACTACAGAGTCGCAATGGATGTCTGAATTTTCGAAGCAGTTGAAATATATGGAAGCAGAAAATTCGAAGAAAACTACAATTCAGAAGTTAGAGACGTTCAATTTAATAACAAAAAACACACGGAAGAGAATTCAGGAGAAACAACAAACCAGCAGCTTTACCCTTCGATTTTCGCCATCTCCACCATATAAAAGTGATGAGGGCAATGAATGTAATCCATATCAGCACTCCTGCTGTAGCAATAAACCAAGGCCTTTTGATAATATGTAGCAAACGATCACCAGACGAAATCCCACTCATTAACTGGATATGTTCTCGCAGTGTTGCCTCATCTAAATAATTCTTTTTTCTTACTAAATAAAAAACAAAATTTCAACAACATAATATCATGAATCATAATAACAACCTTTGCCTCCTTTCATAATAACAACCTGAAGATTAAATAGCTTACTCATTGTGACAGCTTCAAGACCATGATACACACCAACACCAGCGTTACTTCGTGCTGCAACTTTAACTCCATAGGTCATCTCGGGTATTAGATGAAACAACGTAACACTTGCTGCACGTTCATTTGTTGTAATGTTTCGGTTATATTTAGCACCACTACCTAGCACAATAATCTAAAAACAAAAAATTAAGTTATGCCAACTGGAACAAAAAATCGAAAATCTGAAATTAACCTGGAAACCCTTTAGAATCCCATTTATTCCATCCGCAGGTGGTGGACGCCACGAAATTCTTAAAGTCGTTAAATTCATCATTCGGACACGTACATCTGTTGGAGGCGAAGTAGGTGCTGTAATCGCAAAATATGTATCACTCATTAATAAAGTTTCTGAGTCCAGTATCGAATGAGTAACTAACAACACCCTCAAAAAATGCAATATCTATATACTTTAAGAGTACCAAAACTCATTCTCGAAATCAT